TCACGTTCACATAATCGTTCAAGTCATCAAATTCATCATAGTAGTCGTTCAAATCATTCTTCTAATTCATCTCGACATTCATCACAACAAAAAGATAGATCAAATCGTCATACATCACCACATACTCATCCATCATCGACATCAAAATTATCATCATCCTCATCTTCATCTTCATCATTATCATCTCATCATCATAATCGTCGCACACCAACACCATCAAAATCAACTCGAAGTCCATCTCGATTAGTACAATCTCATAATGATCATGTTCCAACTTCTTCTAATGATATATCAGTATTACCTTCAACATCATCTATTAATACACCTCAATCTCGATCAGATAGTGTTGAACCACCTATTGTTGCATCAACAACATGTTCACCTTCAACACATATATTTCATAGTGAAGATGATCATACACAAACAGAAATGGATATTGATGGGCCAAGTGACGATGATATGAATGTTCATCGTCAAATTTCAAATTCTCATGAACATGATCAAATATCACCATCATCATCAACATGTGTAACAAATGATACAAGAAAAATTTTAACTAATAGAAATTTTCATTCAGATCATTCAGATTCAGTATCAGATACAAATGAAAGCAATGATGATAGTCATCTATCAACAGATGATGATGACGATGATGATTTACCATCTGTATTAACTGATGATGATTTACGAACAAAATTAATTTATATTTACAATCGTTTTGCATCAAACTCTATAAATGATTTAACTATATTTGTAACATTTTTTAAACGACATAATTTAATTGATACATCTACAAAAACAACCAATGGAATGTTTACATATGATCTTTTTTCACTTAATCCATCATTAATCGATGAACTAGCTACTGATCTTGGATATACAACAAATTCTATTATTAATCGAACAGAACAGTGATCTCTTAGAAAAAAAAATGCTTGTTTAATTGTATGCAAATCTTTCTCTCTTTCTTCTTCTTTTCTCTTTTTTCTTTTCTTTATTTATGAGAATATATCTGTTGAAACATGATATGTTTTTTTTTTCATTCTTTTCTTTTTTTTTGTCTTACTTGTATAATTTGCTTTTGTTCATTTTATTTACTCCTTTTTCTCTCTTGTTGGTTTATTGCGTTGTTTATTTGTTCATTATGTTTTTGTCTTTCACGCATGTACACCATATTATATAAAAGAATGGTGCCTGCAGAGAGCGGTTTTTTTTTGTTTATTCGAATTATATTTGTTCAGTATAACAAAAGAATAAAGGATAGTTAATACTAAATATATATGAACTTGGTAAATGGGATTAAACTCAGGTTTTTCTTTCTCATCTATGATTCAAAATATTTTTCATTATCTTTCGATGCAGGAGATAAAGTTTATCATGATAAACAACAGAGCAGAATTGTAATCAACAAATTCAATTACATTGCTATTAACATATGTTCTTGTTGTTTCTAAGAAAAACATCCTGGTGATAATTTCATGCATCGAAATTAACCTAGTTTTATAATAGACAAAAAAATGTCATTTTTTCTTATTTTAAAGTATAAAATGTTCTACATTTTTTTTTTTATTAACTATTCAAAATCTATTTATATTCAAAAAACAAGAGGTATTTTTTTATGATTAAAATAATTTTGGCGATATTTTTACATCACTATGTTTTGACACAAACATGTTTTAAATTTATTCATTTTTTGAAGTGCTCGTATGATTGAATAAATTAGACAGATATGTTGCCAAGAATCGTATTAGTATTCACTAGTTCAATGCTAATTTTTTTTTGTAATATGCAAATTTGTCTATTAAAATGTTTTCATAGATTTATTGTAAGAAAAAGTATGCTTTGACATAATGTTGTAAAGAAAAAAAAGAAAATATACATATGTTTTACACAAGACATGCATACACCCTGTTTCTTATACTATGCTTTTAAAAGAAGCCATGATAAAAGTATAGTTAACAAGAATAACGTATTAATGAACTATTAGTAAAACTATTATGAAGGTCTTCTCTTCAATAATATGAAACTATCGATTTTATTCTTTGTAGCTAACAATAATAAACTATGTTTTCATGCAACATCTATATAAACAATATATCACCGATTCAAACTATGAGAAACAAAGAAAACGAAGGTTTGTTTTATATGTTACTTGATCGTTACTGACAAATGATATCGTATGTATTTTTTCTTCGGTTACAATTCAAGAGTTTTTTTCAGATGATTTTTTTTTTGTATGCTAGGAGACACTTATACACAACAACTATTTTCAGAGTATATATGTGAGTCCCTTTGAGTGACTTTTACACAATAATAGAGATGACAGGTAGGCAAAAAAAGAAGAAAAAAAAACGAGCAATGAATATATAAAGCGCACGTATAGTTGTTGAAAAATGTTTTCTTTTTAAAGAGGCTTGTAAAGAATGTTGTCTTTTCGATTTGTCATTTGTGACGTGAAATGACGATTAAAAAAAACTTGGTTAAAATACAGATGTAAAATAATTGGCTTGTCTTGTGTTGTAGTAACGCAATCAATTTTACTTAAATTAAAAATATCAGATCAAAATACATAGTGGATTTTCATTAACTAACTTAATGATCAAATGACAGAGGTAATCATATTCTCAGAACAAGGTGACTAGTTTGAATTACGAAAATAGAAAAAAGAAAGGCCTTCCTCTTTATTTTCTATAGAAAAATTCGTGCACACTTGTAAGTTGAGATGCGAATAGTTTATTTTTATTAAAATGTTTGTTAAAAGTAATTATTTTTTTTTGAAGCGTTATTGAAAATCAATTGCATGAGGAGACTTTTATTTTGGATTTAGTAAGTTGATTTAAATTTATAGTAAGGTTAGAATGAAAAGTGTCATTTAGTTTTTGCGCATTTTTTATTTATTTTGTTCTTTGTGTTTTGTTTTAATAGTCATTTTTTAGTTATGTATACAATTAGAATTGTAATCATTGTTAAATCAAATTTAATCGAACAGTTCATTTAGGTGTTCTTAGTGATAAATGTTTTCCTTTCTTTTTACCTGTTCTAGTCATTTCAGAATTGGAAATTCAACCAAATGATATATTATTCATTGACGTGCTCTGATTTTGAAAAGAGAATTTAAAAAAAAAAAGAAGCAGAAATGAAAAAGGAAAAAATTCTATTAGTGTTCTTTGTTCAGAACCGCTCCGTGCACAAGAGAGTCGAGCGGCATGATGAAGTGCAACAAATCTTCATTGCGCCATTTAAGTAAACTGCGCGCGTCATTTAAAAGAAAAACATGCATTTTTTTATTCAACATAATGTTTATAGAATATATATATTTCTTTTATGTATTGTTAATAGATTTGACATAGGTTTTTTTTATCATTATATCAATAATTGTTATAGATATCAGGTAAGCTTTAATTGATTTAAAACGAAACCATGATTTATAATTTATGTAAAACATATATTCATATTGGAATGGAACTTATATATTGGTAAGTATAGGTTTGGCTTAGACACTTGTACATTTATAAATCCATTTTATTTTTTAACAAAAGAAAAAAACAGACATTTAAATAAAACCTTCTCTTCAAGGATAAACGTGTTCATTTAATATTTTTCGTTATTTAATATTTTTTTTCTTTGGAATATGCGTTTTGAAGCTATTCATGACTTTATATTCTTACTATTTATACTCTTTTTTCTTTGATCATTTAAGTTTTCTGATGCATGATTGTGAGGATAAATTGTATTTCTCTCAATTAAAATCAAAATTTTTATCTGACATGCATGTCTTATAAGAAATAATGATTATCATATATGTTGACAATTTATAATAATTTTTTTCTTCTTTTCTTTATGTAAAAATGAAACAATAAAATAACAGACATAATAGTAATGATGAGATGGTTGTTGTCATCATCGTCATATCGTTGATTGTCCTCTTTCCTTTCTCTTGGCAACCATTAGTCGCTAAAGCACTAAACATACTTTTTTCTAGAGTTGCGCTCTCAAGATGTTCTCTTAACCGTTTGCAAAAGAGAGCATTATGTGTTCGCGCGCGTAATTATCGGAACCAAATGAATAAGCGATGTCGCTATGCAACTGAGTCCATTCGCTGCTGTTGTTCGAAAAGAGAAAGGAGACAGACACGCCCACCGAAGAAGACTAACATATTTTGAGATTTAGGGTATAAATTTAGAAGAGAGAAGACGAATAAGCGAACGATAAGGAAAAGACAAGAATACAATGCATAATTACTTTATAAACAAATCGATAAGACAGCGCAAGTTATAATTAGTCAACTTTGAAGTAAGAGAAGAAAAGTACAAAATGACTCTACAAATTATCCACATGTTGAAATTGTTCAGTGAAAAATCGTAAATGATCATTTTCTTTCTTGATTTATATTAATTTAAAGTTAAAAATATTTGTCGCTAAATGATCTTACGTATTTATTAAAAACAAACTTTATTACCAACATACAAACAGAATCAAGCCATTCATCTAAAAAAGAAATCTGTTAGAAGTACATTCTCTGGTTATTATTGGATTTTTTTGTTCTTTATATCACATCCATCAACCGATCGACAACATTGGTGGTTACATTATTTTCAAAACATTGATTTAGCAACCTTATGAATGTTTTTTATGAAACGATCTTGCAAGTAAAACTATCTGAAAAGACTTCACTTTTCGAATTGAAATATTCGTAATAAATGTGAAAGAAAATAATATTATAATATATTCATTTTACTTGTGTTTTATATAATAATCACTTCAACTTTATATTATAGCGATAGATGGTTAGATGAAACCTATTGAGAAGATTAAGAACTTATTTTATTTATTTATTTACTTATGTATTTTTTTTCATTATAGATTAATGCATAGCGATGACGATAACTGCAATTAATATATCTTTACATTTAATATCACAAATTGAACTTTTTTCCTGTTGTCATTTGTAGTTGCATTATCATTTTCTGCATATCTATTTAAATTTCTTGTAATATAAAATGATGACCGAATACGATCAACAACATAGTCAACGTGGACATCAACCTTATGACCAACGTGGATATCAACAATACGATCAACGTGGATACCAACAATATGATCAACATGATCATCAGCAATATGATCAACGCGGATATCAACAATATGATCAACAACAACCACAACAACGTTCAACAATACTTGAACGTGGTCGAGCTATACGATTAATGAGAAATGGAGATCCATTTTTTACTGGTCGAAATTTTGTTATTAATCAAAAAAAATACCCAATGTTAGACGTATTCTTAGATGATGCATCACGAACATTACGTGCTAATTTTGGAGCTGTTAGATCTATTTATACACCAAAACATGGTACACGATTACAAGATATATCTGATTTTGAAGATCATCAAACTTATGTAGCAGCTGGTGGAGAAAAATTTAAAAAACTTCAGTAAATATTATTTAATAAAAATTATATTTAAAGAAAGTTTTATTATGTTCTTTTCAGTTATCTTGATATTGCAGAAGGTAAACGTGTTGTAACTAAAGGACAAACATCACCTAAAGTAAGTTCAAATAAATATATATATTAGATTAAATTTATTGTAAATAACTTTCGTTTAGTAATATACATGTAAATATTTATAAGATTGAGTTTTATTGTCAACAAGTATTGATGTACTTTTTTTGTGATACATAATCTAACAGAAGTGTTAAACTATATGAATAAACATTTAGACATATCCTTCACAGATCGTGACAGACGTTACTATGGAAATGTCACACATCATAATAAATACCCTAGCAACACTCTCTCTCTGCGCACCACAGAAGTTGTTGATATATAATTATGGACTGTATATGAATAACATCTCACTATAATATATGAAGTACTTCCTCATTGTATTTTCGGAGAATTAGGTAAAACGATGATGAAGAGATGTGTTTCAAAATAGATAGAACAAAATAATCTTCTTATGATTAGCAAAAGCAACTACATCATATTTCACATTTTTATTTGCCGATCACATTACCCCAGAGAAGTCAAGATGAGAGGATACACCTTACAAAATGTTATAATCTTAGAATGAAAGAGAAATGAAAAAAAAAACTAAACCATTTTTATCATTCAAGATCTTTCAATTTTGATTGAAGTAAATTTTTAATTTCTTCATTTAATATTATATTATTTCTTTTCTAGGTTCATCTTCCACCTGTTCGACGTATAGATGCTGAAGGGCGAGCATTAAAATTATCTCGCTCAGAAAATGTTATAATCTAGTAAATTAAATTCAATTTTTTCAAAATGATTATCTCAAATTCTTCTTTCGTTTTTTTTTAGTGTATATCGAAATGGTGATCCATTAACATTGCCAGCTAAAGTTCTCTTAGTAAAACCAACATTACAAAATTGGGAATCAGTTCTCGATGAAATTACCAAAAAAGTATCACTTCCAAATACAGCAGTACTAAAGTATTTATATAGAATGAATCATAATTAAATCTGGTTTTTCTATAATTCAAATATTTTCGATAGAATATATGCAATGAATGGAGAATTAATGACATCATCACGACAACTTGAATATAATGGAATGTATGTTGCAGCTGGTAAAGAACGTTTCAAACGTATTGATTATCCTGATCCACAGCTACTCAGTCCTAATTCTTCACCAAAAATGTCAAGAAAATCGTAAGTATAATTCATTTTATTAAAACTATTAAAAAAAAGAGAAAAACAAGTCCACTATCAATATAAATACACATGATGTATTCATCTCTTTAAATTAGGTCAAAACAGCAACTTTCTGGGTAAGTAGGAGGAAAATACAGTATTAAAATAACATAGCAAAGCAAAAATAAAAGACACTGTAGTAACATGTTTATTTTCATCAGTCAGCAAGAGATAAATATCTAACACCCAGAATTATTCGAAAAATTCAAAAATAAAGAATTAAATATATGTATTTTCTCTAACAAAATGTGTATAGTTCGTTAAAAAAAGAAGCAACACCTATGATAAACTTTTGTAGTGTTTATCCTCGAATAAAATTACCTCCACGACAAAGGAGGGCCGATGATTCTAATGTTCATCATAATTATCAACCAGCATCCTCTACTATACAACACAGGTATTTTTTTTCTAATCTAAAACAAAAAAACTACATACCCAATTGCTGCCAATACTATTATATTTATTCTAATCAACTATATATATTGCGTGACAATATGCGAAATTCTAGAGACAATAAACATGATGCCAGTTCTCTATTCTTCTTCTTCTTCTTCTTCTCCTTGAATTATTGTGTTTATGTTCTTACTTCTTTAATTAAATTTCATTTTAAATAAGACGTAATTTTTTTTTTTGATTTTTTGCTTTTTCTCATTTAGTTATACAAAATCCGATGGAACTTATACGCATACAACTACAGCTAATTCTTATGGTAGTACAGAAAATACTACACAGTAAGTTATTTTAATGGTTCATTTACAAAACATTATTTTATATCACATTTTAAGACGACGTCCTGCTCGAGAAGAATATGATTTTTTTAATAATAAACCACAACAACATCGACGCGGTCCAACTAAAGAAACCGATCTTGATCGAGGTTATTTTTCAAAAAAAAAGAATAAGTAAAAAATTATATATAATATTCCTTTTATTCAGATGACGGTGGTATTTACAAAGGTCGATTGACACATCGAGAACGTGTACGTGAAGTTGATGAAACACGAGATACAAAAGTTGATATACCAGTTGATCACAGAGAAGCTGAAACTGTTCAAGAAGAAACTTTATATGGAAATAATCGAGTATGTAATATCTTTTGTTTATTTGCGATAGGAACTATTGGTTTTTAAAAAGATAAATTTCAAGTAGAACATTTAAAAAGTGATGAATGTATCAAATTCGATCTTGTTCTAACTAGTTATTATCTATTTTAAAAAAGAAGAGCTGTAAATATTTTTTCTATAACTTTTGATAGAAATAACATAGAACTATGGTTCTCAACAGTACACAGAGAAGACTTAGGTGCATAAAGTATGTGTTGAAGTTTGATTTACCAGCACTGGATCACATTGTTAGCTTGTTCTATTTAAAAGTTATTAGAGTTTGTTTATGAACTCTGATCTCAGCCAATTAACTTGTAATCACTCAGAAAAGTATCTAGGTACGAATGCTTCACCATGCTGAATTAAACGAGTTTTTGGATTCGAAATGATCTGACGCTATTATTTCAGTATTTCCAAAGTTTCACAATCTGTCGCGATGTAGCATTAGAAGTCGACACGTCACAAATATTGAGATAACGATATCATATTATTTAGAATCAGAAAAAATGTCGTTATTCGACTCAGCATGGTGAACTACACCTGTACAAATGCTTTTCAGAGTGATCATAAGTCAATTGACTGAAATCGAGAGCCTTAAAGAAAACTTCTGTAACTAATGAATAAAACAGTCTACTAAGGTTGTCCTTGTATAGATCGAAAGGGAGTAATTTTTCATATTAACAATCAAGATCAGCTGAAAAATAAGTCCGGAATACAATTATTAAAACATCCTCTAATTAATTTTATGAATTCAATATTGATTACTCATATTTCAGCATTCATCTACAAGTTTGAGTCTTCTCTTTGCAATGGCGAAAATCATAGCTATCTGTCTTATTTCTATCAAAAGTTATTCAAAAACTACCAACAAATCTTCTTTTTTTTGAGATACACAACAGTTGAGATAAGCAAAATGAATAACAGTTATAGTATATTATTATTTTTTTGTTTATTTTAAGAGAGTGAAATATATAAGTAACAATGAACGAAGAGAAAGAACAATTATAACACCATAGACTTTGTTTTTTCGCCAAACAAGTTTTGACTTTAGGCCTGGATTTGATGACCAATTAGATTTTGTCTAGCTCTCATCTACTTGGGATAGGTCGAATAGCTTTCCATAAATAATTAGATCGTTGTTTTACGTTATAGAATAGTTTGTAAATTTAAATTATAGATAGTCATCTCACGAGATACAAGTATTATATATACCCTCAACTTCAATTGTTATTCTCCATTTCGATCGCCTAATTTCAAAATAATTAAGATGAGAAAATCTATTTTAATTACCAATTAGAAACGAGCTGAGAGTAAACTATTTTATTATTAGATCGATATGGAGCAAAAACAATTATGTAAAACGTAGACAATAATATACAATAAAAGCGAAATATAGGAGAAGACAAGTAAATGATTGATTAATTGAAAACTTAGTCATCATGCAATGTCTATTTAAAATCAAATTCTTGAACCGTCATCGTGCTAATAATTGTTTATATAGATGAGTGTGTATTTTAATCGATAAATTCAACATTGTCAGACGCACGCACATAAAACATGAAAGAAGAGAAAATAATACAAAATGTCGTCCACCTGTATTATGATTGATAGATATTGATGAGATTCATATGTGTCTAATAAGCGATACTTTTACACTTAATTTTTATATTTTTTCTTCATTTAGAAAAATCCTGATCGTCATCATCAGTTACCACCCAGTCAACCATATCCTGATTCTCGACAACAGCCAATAAAAGTATGATCTTCCTTTTATTGATAAACCGAATGTTTCAAATCATTTTTTTTCTTCTAGAATCAACCAAAAAATTATAATCATGATGATGATAATCGAAATCCCTATACTAATAATCGAAGTAATGGTTACGATAATGATTATCATTATCGTAGTCAAACGCCAATCGATGATGATCAAACTGAACAACAATTACCTCATTCATCATATCGACGACCACTTAAATCATCAAGTACACAGGTATTTTATTTTCAATAGAATATTTTTTTTAAATATACTAACAAAGTTTGCTAACATATGTGTGTATGCTTGTTAATCCGCTTGAATAGCCTAATGAAAAAAATGAGGATCAAGCTGCTACTCTTATTCCATCTCATGTGCATGGTTATTTTCCCGGTAAACAGACTCAATATGATCAACAGCAAAATAAAGTGCATGATACGGAAAGCAATATAGATCAATATCATCAATCATACAAAGTAACCGAGGTGAATGCTATGCTTATTAACTAACATGCATAGTTTTTGTGCTATATTTAATAAAATTAATAAACTGATAGTTTTTCTTCCTATTTCTGTCTTTTTTAAAATATGAATTATTCTTTTTCTTAGTTTTGAAATAAAAAAATTCTTTCTGTCTATTTTCATAATCACTCTAGATTTCTCATTAATCGATGTTACAAACTGAGTTTTCGGGAAAATTTATTGTGAGTGAAGTATGAAAATATACACATTTGAACGAAATTTTCCTCTTTCGACAGGTGAACTCTAATCTTTATTGCTTATAGCTTTTTGAGGGGAATGCTAAATCCATTAACATAATTTGTTGAATTATTTATTATTTTTTTTCTTTATTTATAATTTTAGCGTGATTATGATGATGACAATCGTCATGCTTAATATACATTTCAACAAGCTTCAACTTAAACTTTGCTTCCCTATATTACATATATATATATATATATACATCGGTTGCTTTAAAAATTTTTTTTCCAAGAATAAGAAAAATCTATTCTTCTATTTGTTCTTGTATTTCTCTTTTTGTCTCACTTTCTTCTTGACTTTTCTTTTTTCTTTTTCTGTTATTCAAACAGGAATCTTTGCTGAAGCCATTTTATGATTGTATTGATACAGTAAATTATGGTTCATGTAATGCTTGAAAAGAATAATCCTTGTCATTTTTTTTATGAATCATTATTGAGACCAATAATAATATGTATGTTTTTGCTTCGTTTCGATGAATGATGAAAAATTCAAGTTTATATACATATTCAACATTGATAACGAAGAACAGATTGAAATTTGCTTCTTCTTAGAGTATGATTTATTGTAAATGAAATAGTTGATATCGAAAACTAAAATAAATGACAATAATCGCAAAGAGAAAAAAAGCATTGACGACCTGTTTGATTGACATTTGAAGTTTTCATTCATCGAAACTGTTTAGGGTTGTCAATTATTTATGCACTACTATTTTCGTAATAAATTGAATTGATCATGGCACGTGAAAGTCGTATTAGAACTATATTGGCAATAATAATGAACCAGACACGATTATTTATTTATTTATTTTTTAATGAAGAGAGATTAATTCTCAGTACAGTCAAATTACATATTGAAATGAAACCATAAATATATGCCGGTATTTTAGAACTAAATGTAACAGTCATATGGCGATCCATAAAGAAACACGTTGTGTCGTCAGTTGTATCATCATTAGATGGCGACTTTTAGGAATGTAGTCACACAAAACTACGATATGAACTAATCGATTCTTTGTTAAAACTTCAATTATTTATAAGACTTATTGATTCAACTTTGCTTTTTCGTTTGTTGAACTAGGAGGATGTAGACACATATGATTAGTGTATAAAACGTGTGTCATCTTTTAAGACATCCTACTTGCTAAAAAAAGGTTAACTATCATTCGAGTACAGCTTACTCAACAGTTTTTTTGAGGAGATACAAAACCACTTGTGTTCTAAACCTGAAACAAACTGGTCACAAGGACTTTGTTGTCAAGACCTGATATTGTTTCTTTTTTTAGCTACTATTGAGATGATTTCATTGAGACAATGTTCAATTAGCGTGAAATCTAATATGGTATTCGGAATTAGCATAAAAGACTGACAAGAGAATCTCTTCCGGTATCGTCTTCCGATTTCAATGATTTTTTGCCTATAGATATTAGACAGTGTTATAATATAGGGCTTCGGTTCCTATTAAGATTTGACTAAGCTATTGAGTTTTTTCTCGATACCCCAGGTTTTCGAAAAACTTGTGGTTTCGGCTTTTGATCTGACACTTTGTGCGTATAGAGAACTCAACTAGACTAACTTCCATTAAAAAAGTCTAAAAAAAAATTTTGAACAAAGTCTTTTTGAGATATGAGACTTTCAAGATACTGATCCTTTTCCGTGGATAATATATACAACATACATTTTTTGAAAGGTTCATGTCTCTCGAAGAGATTTTTTAAAACTTTATGGAAACTAGTTTACTTAAGGTCTTTATATACACAAAGTGTCAGATCAATATTCGAAAATAGGACTTTTCCGAAATCTTGAGACTTCTAGAAAATTTTTGATAGTTGAGTTAAAACTCAATAGGAACCGACATTCTTTTAGGGTTTTCATTAGAACACTATGTAATATCTATACTCAAAAGAATCATTGAAATCGAAGAGGGAAAGCTAAAGACGTTTCATTGTGAGTGGATTGATATGTAATAAAAATATTTCCTTGAAGTTCTTTTTATCAGGAAATTTACTCCTGGTTCCTTTAAGGACTCAGCCAAAAGCAGGAAGTCCATCCAAAAGGCATTTTGACAGTAAAAAGAAACTTGGAAAGTTGTTGAAAGTTATTAGATTAAAAAATATCTGACATCGAAAAAAATTCAAGAAAATCTTTTTATTAGACGTAAACTGACTCAGTCTTTTATGCAGAGTTAAAATATCATATTAGGTTTTATTTTCACTGGACATTCTCTTATCGAAACTTTCTACATGTTACTAAAAAAAAGAGTACAAAATTCAGCTTTGAAAAAAGTTTATTTGGTTATTACTTCAATATCTACTTGTTTTATCAATTATAGAAAGTGTAGAATTTTGTATCTCTTGAAAAAAAGCTATTGAATAATTTATATTACTAAAGATGAATAATTCCATTTTAACACGAAAGATGCCTTAAAAGGTACGCAAGCATTTCATCTGCTTTTCAAATGTGTCTGCATCATACTGTGAAGCACGTGAATTGGTGGAATTGAATAGATAAGTCCGACAAAAAGTGGAAACCTCAATAAAGGCCTAACAATTCCACATTGTAACAGTGTTTGTTAACGCTCCTAAAAATCATCATTTAATGGTGATATGACTAGTGACCAAAGGAACCTTTTTACGAATCATCGTAAGACTGCTAAATTCAATAGTGAACCGTTAAATTTAGTTTTAAAACACTGACGTAAATTTATGATTTCATCCAATATGTAGTTTGACTCAACTGTGAATAAAAATCGTAGTGGGCCGATTTGAGTTCTTATGCGACCCCGCCCCTTTCTTAATATTCAATTATTCACTTTTATTCTTGCTCGATATGACGTTGTGAGAAAGCAAAAAAAAAAGAAATTTTTTCGTTCTAATACTTTTCATGTATTATCGATGAATAATGACAGTACAGCTTGTTCAGGGAATAATACGTTATGTTTCTTTGGGCTTTTTTTTCTTTCTTTTGCTACAGCCATCATCATCATCGTTATATTTGCCTCCTTTTCTTTCCGGTGAAAGTAAAAAAAAACGGTAGAAAAAGAAGACATATGCGGAGTCATGAGTCTTTTTTCTCATACGTCTACTGTGCATTAAATGACGTCGGCAATTGGTCCGTTTTTTTGTTCTTGTTCTTCTCGTATTTTTTCTACTCAAAAATAAAAAATTTTATCGGCACATTTTCCAGTTCTGACTAACATCGATTATTGGAAAGAAACATGGGCGCAAATGAAAGTGCCGAAATTCAAGTGAGCTTCAATCATTCAAACTCATTCTATTTTGCTGGTGAACAAATATTAGGCAACATTTCCTTTCAAAGTACACATGAGAAATTAGTATTAGATGGAATTTTTCTAGAATTTATTGGTGAAATTGGTTTTACAACACGAGAAACAAGGCGACATCATGATAGTAATGGACATACTCGTACAGAACATTATACAGAATATCATCGTGTACCATTTATTACTGTTTGTATTCCTGTAGTTCAACCTCAATACGGACAGGTAAAAAAGATAATGATAGATATTATAAATTTCGTTATATTTCTTTTGTAGCGTGATATTACATTATATCGTGGTCAATATTCTTGGCCATTTGAATTTCTTCTTCCACAATGTTTACCTCCATCATCAGTTCCGTCCACAATTGAATTTCCTTATGTAAAATATAGTATACGTATTGTTCTTGATAAACCTTGGTATAAATTAAATAAAAAACAAACGTATCCATTAACAATATTTCCACGTGTTAATCTTTATCAAATACAGCCTGCTCAACAACCTGTACCTTTTACACAATCGAATCGAAAAAAAATTCAATTAAATGGATATCTTCTTCAAGGTGGTGTTGTACCTGGTAAAAGTCTTTCACTTCAAATCAATCTTCAAAATCCAAAACGAATAGAAATAAAACGAATTGAAGCTACATTAATTCAACATCGACAAGTTGCTCGTAGTCATCATGCTGAAATTATTTTTCGAATGGATTTACCTGATATACGTGAATTTAGTGGCGCAGATTTTAATCGAATGTTTAATTTACAAATACCGTCTGTTTATTTGGCACCTACTTATACATATATGTCACAATGTTGTGGTCCATCACTTAGTATTAATTTTACTTATGAACTTAAATTAGAGGTAAAAGTACGTGGATTATTTACTGATTTTACAGTAAGCATACCAGTTATTATTGGTACAGAACCGACGTCAGATGAACAACAATTAATAAATAGTTCAGTTGACATGGCTACACCAAGTGCTCCAGTATATGATTATGATGAACCACCACCAGCCTATGAATCAGTGGTTACAAATTTAAAAGAATAAATATTCAATATTATTTTCTTGTATTAAATTTTTTTTTAATTATTGTATTCGCTTAGGTGACAAGAGTTTGTAAACAAAATAAATGACATTGACGCATGCAGTAATAATAAAATGTATTTAATCTCAAGTATTGGTTACATTTATTATTATTGCATGAAGTTTTAGGTTTTAGGAGGTACTGTTCAAGTTCATCAAGTTATTTGGATTTTTTTAGTTTTTAGAAGTGTTGAAGAAATAATTTTGTTCAGCAAATCATTTATTAGCAGACTTGTGAAATTTTTTTCAACAATGCAACTTGGCCATCCAATTTGAGAATTATTTTTGCTAACTCAGAATGTTCATATATATAATATTGAGGTTTTTAATTCAAGGTCGCTAATTATTTTGATAGATTTATTTAGATTTCCTATCTGCATCTACATTTTAATCTAATGCAAACATCACAATAATTCAAACTTCACAATATATAGAATGGAAACAGTACTTTATTATTTCTCGGAAGAGATTTTTTTTTTCAGTTCTCTATATTGATATGTCGCCATGACACTGCATTAATATGTGTTGTTTTGTTTACAGACGTTCGTAACGATACAATCAATGTTAATCATTTAATACTTATTGTTAGTTAAAGAGTTCTATACACATTTAAACAGTTTGATTATTGACATGATCAAAATGTATTGTAAACATTTTTAGTTAAATAATACAAAAAAAAAAAAAACTTAATAATCATTCTGAACATAGTGTCTCAATTCATTATATGAATATACTTATTATACTTATTCATAGAAAGCATTGATTATTGACATTCGTGAAAATAGCTTATCTTTTTTGATGATACATCACTATTCAGAACGTCTGTTGATTTGTTTTTTTTGAAACATTGACATTATCCTTATTATTTAATCATCATTATTTCATCTTCGTCCTCTCTCTTGATATATAAAATATACAAAAACAGAGTCGACGACGCGTTATTTGCCCCGTGCTCCTACGTACACTGTTTTTCAACTGACATTTACTTACGTAGGACTGTAATAAAAGTTTAGTTACATTTAAATTTTCATGTATTACTATTTTAGTCTTATAGGCATATTGTATATTCAGTGAAATTGATATTAATAATAAAAGAATGTAAGCAAAAATACAGACATTGATTTTCTAATGTTTACGAACAGGCAATACGTAGTGTTTTATTTCTAGGTACATAAATTTAATTATTACTGGATGAAGTATCTCTTGGCATTTATTGCTGAATGTAGTTCTATAAGAGAAGAAAAACATGTCGTTTATAATACAAATGTTAATAGCCATGTATAATCTCACACAGATATCCATAAAAATATCATTTACTAATATTCGTTATTCTCCGAGAAAGGTCAATGTTAAAAACTGATCAAATATAAAATCTTGCCTTGTAATTGTACATTCAAGTGATTCTTTTGTTGGTGATCAATATTCTTGACCATTTAAATTTATGTTTTTTAATATAACGTATATAAAACACCTTAATTCATTAAAAATAATTCTACATGTTAATCATTCTTATATATAATATACATCATAAAAACCTCTTCTTTCTAATCAATAAAAAAAGATGTTCAATTAAAAGTTAATTTCCATTAAAAAAAATCATTCTGTTTGATGCAAACTTTTTCTTTCTAAAAATTAATCTTCAAAATTCAAAACGAACAGAAAATTAATTGTCGTGAAATAACATTTATTCACCATCAACATATCGACTCAAATAAATATAATACAAATATACTGTAATTAGCTATGCATAGCTTTCAAGAGTTTTCCAATATAGAACGAAATTGAGCTTCGAATTTATTAGTTCTTCATCTTAGATTACCTACGTACGTACACACAAGACAATAATTTACTTTTCTTTATGATATTGAACGGATACTTTGGATGTGAGCAGGCAAAAATAAGTTCCAATCACAAGCACCGATCCACTCCCCATCGGTTTAGATGTACTGGGATTATAATTCACATATTTTCTTTCTTCTGTAAAAAGAAACACATTCAGCGGAAAGAAGTTTTCGTTTATCATTTGGTGTTCTACAAAATACTTCTGCTTTTTTTCGAGCACTAAAGGCAGTTCCATTTGTCTGCCTTACTATAACTAAAGTCCGTGTCACAGACAAGATCTTAGACATTAACATGCTGTAAAACAATGAACTCATGTTATAACTCTAACTCGACTCCATTCAATGCTGCAACTCTAAAACTTTTAGAATAGACTTTTTTGTCTCATAAAATTTTCTACTCAAGTTTTCAAATGAACTGATTGAAGTCATAATAGAAAAGAACTATCTTACTAAAAATCCGTATATACTCTTCAACCAACACCATTGATGAAAAGACGATGTTTCAGTTCGCTCAAAGTGATTTCTAACAAAAATCGAACTATAGATAACTAGAATAGTATTCCTTGAAATGAGGCCTCGGACGAAAACATTTGCGTTAACATGATTGAAATAAGACAGTCATAAGAGAAAGATTATGTCTGAACCGTAACCCCAGGACATGGAAAACAATGGAAGGTAGGTTTTGTGCTTGCAATCACGATTTACTGTCACACACACGCATCCACAATATTAATTTAGTATTATAAAGAATAACAATACTCCCTGAGAGGCAGCCACTAGAGCCTGTTAAGTCAGTTCTAGCCCAGATCTAATCAGGTCCAAGTCCAAAAATTTTGGATTCGATGGGCTCTAGTAATCTAAAAACATGTATAAAATGCGCTAATCACGAGATATAGGAAGCAGAAAAAAGCATATCGTATATACTGAGTGACTATCCAATTTCGATTAGAAAACTTCATTCAGAGTATCAAATTGCGGTTCGATCGAGTCCGAATTTAAAAATTTTTAGCCCGATGGGTTCTAACAACTTTTCTTCTGTCTAGGATTATGTATTGAATATTGAATAAATGTTGACGTTTCGGTCAGCATTGACCTTCTTCAAAATGTTATTGTGACATATACGAAGGTGACATTGATTTTACTACAGCTATATATTTTTCTTCTATGTTTTAAGGATAATGGTAAAAGAACAACATCAAGGTTTTCTCATCTATTGTACTATCATGAATGCAAAAAAAGAAGATATATCAATAGTTAAATGAATATCATCTTTGTATACGTCGCAACAACATTCTGAAGAAGGTCAGTTCTAATCAGATCGTCAACATTTATTCCACATATATAATGAGTTTATTTTATGGTATGTTTTGTAGATTGATTTATTTCATGTTATCAAATAAATTAATCTATACGAAAAGAGAACTCGCATCGTAAATAAAATTAATAATTACTTTTCTTAATCAATTTCAATTTGCCGTCTTGAAGTCTGTAATTATACTATTTATCAATATGCACCAATCATAATTACTGTTTTCTAATTACTTTTTATGAAAAAGCGTTTTATTAATACAAATAGTAGAATGTGGTATTTATCATTTAATTTTATATTGATGAATTAGTCAAAGGAAAAATACATATGTGCATCAGAAATTTTCACATGTTTTCTATCAAGCTTCTTTCTAGATTATGCATAGAGTTAACTGATAGTATTTATTCCATACAATAGTTGATAGTATTATAACAAGGAGAGGAAATAGATGATTTCTTAAAATTTTTTTATCGATGTGAAATAAAACAAACACTAATTCAAAAAGATGTGGTTTTGAATGTTTCATATTTTGATTTTAAGTCTTTTCTTATAATTTAAATCTGTAGGTAGAACTTGGTGGTGAAAAGAAAGCGATTCGTACATTTAGTAAATGAGGTCTACCATAATAATTAAAAAAAACTGATGTTTTTGATTTTTCTGAATTTTTTGATTACGCTGGTTTTTTTTATTGAAAGCTTTTGGAAGCTCAAAAAGTCAAACAGTTGCCGTCGATTTTTTAATCAAAAAAAAATCTGATTTTAGCTGTCTTATTCATGTATTATGTCGCGTTTCGTAAATACACTTTTCTTTTCGTTTCATAGATTAGGTTCTTGATTCAAGTCAGTGACTTGTCATATCAAATCATTATAATTGCTTTCATATACAACGCAATAATATTTTCCTTTTTGTTCATTGCATAGCCATGTGCTTTAAAAATACAAACTACGTAAGTATGTAGTAAAGTTGTTAATCACTTGGTTCTTTTACCTTTGCGATGTGTCTACTAGCTTTTAGCGAGGAAAGTAATCACACTGCTTTTTTTTCTATGCGATTACTTTTGCATTCTGTTTTTTGACGTAAAATATAAATAGACGACTAGATTTTTTTCGATACTAACGATAGCATATCTATTACAACCAGTCATTCAAAAAAATAATGGGTATAGGGAAGAGTACGCTAGCTGAAGTGAAGCTCAATCATTCTGATTCATTTTACTATGCTGGTGAAAAAGTAACTGGAATTATTTCATTTCATAACCATCATAGAAAATTAACATTAAATAATGTTTCATTTGGATTTATTGGTGAAGTTGGCTATACAGGACAAAAAACACGGCATTCTCGTGATAGTATGGGTAATATACAAGAAGAAACTCGTACAGGTCAACAGCAGTTTTCATTTATAAATATTCATATTCAATTTACTCATTCGAAACATAATGAGGTAGGAACTTGAGTAAAGTCAAATAAAGAGCTAGACCCCTCTTCTAATTTTTATTGTTTGTCTAGGATAAAATGATTCTTGAGCATGGTCACAATTCTTGGCCATTTGAATTTAGTCTTCCTCAGAATTTACCACCATCATCAGGCTCATTAACAGGTTCATATCCTTATATAAAATATTACGTATTTATTAATACTGATCGAACATGGTTTAAATCAATTAAAGCACAAACGTTTCCATTGATAATTTTTCCAAATGTTAATATCTTTAATATAAATGAAGGTAGACAATCTACTGCTGTGTATAATCGCAATGATTTATACGTTAAAGCTTGTTTAACTCCTCAAAGTATTTTACCTGGTGAAAAGATTTCTCTTGATATTGATATTAAGAATCATAAACAGTTAAAAATAAAAGAAATTGAAGCAAAATTAATTCAACAACGAGAAATCGATCGAAATCATCATGCTGAAGTTATTTTTAAAGTGGATTTACCATTTTCACAAGATTTTAAGGAAACAGAATTTCATGAAAATTTTGATTTAGATATGCCTTCTGGTCACCTACCACCCACATATGATTATATGGCATCCTGTTCTGATTTAACAATTCAAACTAGTATTTTTTATGAAATAAAATTACAAGTAAAAGTTCATGACTGGCCTAATGAAATAAATTTGATCATTCCAATAATTGTCGGAACAGAATCAAGAGCGGAACAATGTCAATCGAGAAAAAGTAGTTATGCTAGGAAGTCAATAAGTTATACAGCAGTTGTGAAAGAAATGGATGCATCGCCTGTTCATGAATCGGGGGTTGAAGATCTGAAATTTTAAGAAACTATAACCTAATCGTTCAATATATTTTTTTGTACCGCTTTCATTTCTGCTTGTATATATTTCCAGTCAAAATTAATACGCACCTTGCACATTTCTTTCTATACTACTAAAAAAAAGCTTTTTATCAAAAGCTTGTTTTTTTTTAATTACAGCTGTTGCTGCAATACTAAATATATTTATCGTAAAAATATCGTTTTCTTAATTAGTTAGCATAAATATAAAAATTGCCATGCATTCGTGCAATGAAAAATAAACTCAAACTGAACATTTTTTGTGTAAAAATCAGTCACAAATGAATGTTTTATATGTACAGGATGTTTCATAAGTCTTGAAGTTTGACAAAATTAGTTTATATGCAAATAAACCATAATCTCAAACTGAATGTATTTATCTGAAGTTTGAGTACTCGTGTTGGTCTTTCAAATGTCATAGTGTTGGATGACATCTTCTCTTGTAATAATAAAAAGCACAAACATGAGAATAATATAATCAATTTTTCGAAACCGACCAACATGATTTCTTCTAAAGTTTTTCTAAGGAAGTGCTGAATATATTTCACATAAAAACAGGCAGAATAGCAGCCAATAAGTATTCATCTTAACCCTTTATATGATACTTATCAGGGGCAGCTAATGACATGTTTAGTAAAGTTATGTGCTGAATAATCGGTTTGAAATGAACTAAAATATATGAACACATCATAGGTTGGACAGCAAACAAAGAACAAAAATTGTGCTATCAACTATTGATGAATTATTGAATGTTTATATTTTACCTCAGGTGGTGATGCTAAATTTGCTGAGGTATGGATCATTGAAAATGTGTGGAAAATATTAAAGAAAAAAGTACGAAGTGAACAATCTTCATACTTAAACATCTACAAACTAGTAGATTTAACAAAGATAACTTGTAAAAATTGTAGAAGAATGATTGATAAAGTTCCTAAAAGGCTTGACGAAATGATAAATAGCAACAGACAAGAAACACGTGATGGTTAAATCCCATTTTTATGTAATCAAATTAATATGTGTATTTGAAAACTGGAATGTTTTTCTTTTTTTTTCTTACTAAAATCTCTTATTGATCGATTTCAAAAATTTATAATAATATTCTCATGTTTGTGTTATTATTATTACAAGAGACGATGTCATCCAATATTATGGCATTTGAAAGACCAACACGAATACTCAAACTTCTTATAAATAAATTCAGTTCGAGATTATTTTCTGTTTGCACATAAACTAATGTTATCAAGCCTCAAGACTTATGACACATCCTTTATGGTAGGATATCTTGGAATTATATCCTCAGAAATAATCAGTTTAAATATATCGAATCGACAAATACAAACTACAGTCGTATTTGTTTGCTTTCTCAACATTGATTCACATAGAATCTTACATTATTCGAAAATTATCTGTTCGAAATATTTCACAAGAATTTTGGCAATGTTCTTAACGCAAGTGACTGTTCGAAAATATTTAAGCTACAAACACGAAAAAAATTTACCATTTGTTTTTTGAGCACAATTACAATAGACTGTCGATAGTATAGTACGTCGAGTTGGTCTCGAACCCGACTAGAGATTTACAGAGTACGATAAGGTAAGGCTTAGAAAATCTTCTGTTAACCGGCTGTGTGTCCAAAAATTTTGAACTTGATGGACACTAGTAGTTTGAGAAACGTATGGGGTGCACAAGTCACCAAATACAAAAGAATCGGAAAAAAATATCTCATATTTTCTGTCCAACTGTCCAATTTCGATAAGAAAATTGCATTGAAAGTATCAAAGTACGATTCGACTAGATCCGAGTCTCAAAATGTTCAATAATATACCCAGTCTGGATTGGAAAATGTTGAATCTGAAGTATCTAGGAGTTTTTCTTTTGTTCAGGACTGTATATTACTTATTAAATAAATGTTGACATTTCGATTAGAATTGACCTTTGTCAGAACTTTTTTGTCACATAGAAAGAAAGATGATATTCATTTAACATTAGGTATATATTTTTTTCTTTGTTTTGATGGTAGTATTGGGGACGAGACAACCTACGTCTCCTTTCCTTGTCACCATCATCAAAACAGAGAAAAAAAATGTACCTATTGTAAAACGAATATTATCTTTCTTTCAATGTGACAAAAAAGTTCGGACGAAGGTCCATTCTAGTCAAAACGTCAACATTTATTCAATATTTGATAGAATCTATTTTACTCGATTAATATAGAATATCTTATCGTTGTATTCTATATTTATTTTTTTCGTGTTATCCAATAAATTAGTCTACACAGAAAGAGACTGAGTATCGTAAAAAAAAATAATCATAATCTTTTTTAATCGATTTCAATTTAAAATCTGATGAAGTCTTGAAGTCTGCGCTTGTACTATTTATCAATATGCAGTAATCGTTTTTTTTTCAAATTACTTTTTATGAAAAAGAGGTTTTATTACTTTAACTAGAAGAATGATGTATCAATAGTTTAATGTTACATTGATAAATTAGTCAAAAAGAAAAATACTAAATGATTATCAGAAATTTTCAAATGTTTTCTATCAAGCTTCTTCCTTGATTATAAATATAGCTAACTGATAGTATTGATTCAAACAGCAATTCATTGTATAATAGCAAGGGGGAAATAGCTGACTTGTTATCAATTTTAAATGAAAAAAAATGAATTTTATCAACAAGATTTAAAAAAATCTTATTGAAAAAGGTCTGGTTTTGAACACTTTGTACCTTAATTTTAAGTATTTTGTTATAATTTAATTCTATAGGTAGAACTTGGTTGTTAAACGAAAGCGATTCGTATATTTAGAGAATGAGGTCTACCATAATAATAATTATAAAAAATTGATGTTGTTTCTTTTTCTAAAACTTTTGATTACACGGATTATGTTTATTTAAAGTTGATGAAAAATCCAAAAATCAACTATTGGCCTACGATATTTTAATCAAAAAATCCTGCTTCGATTATCCTCTCCTTGTATAGTATCATATTTCATGAATACACTTTTTACGCCTCATTTATTATGTTTTTGATTTGGTCCAATGATTTCCCATACCAGATAGTTATAATTGCATTGACGTACCTCCTAATTATATGTTCCTGTTTCATCATCACATAGACATGTGCTTTAAAAATACAAACTACGCAATTATGCAGTGACGCTCTTTATTACTTGTTTCTTGTATCTTTGTGATACGTGTTCTATCTTTTAACGAGAGAAATAAAGGCTTTGATTTTTTTCCCTATTTGATTAATGTTGCCTTTTTTTGTCACAACATATAAATATACGACTCCATTTTTTTTTCGATACGAATAATAACATATCTATTGCAATCGGTCATTCAAGCAATCATGGGAGCAGGGAAGAGTACGGTAGTTAAAGTGAATTTCAATCATTCCGATTCATTTTATTATGCTGGTGAAAAAGTAACTGGAACTGTTTCATTTCATAATCCTGAGAAAAAATTAACTTTAACTAATGTTTCACTTGGATTTATTGGTGAAGTTGGCTATACAGGAGAAAAAAGGCATCATTCTCGCGATGGTATGGGTAATATACACGAAGAACATCGTACAGGTCAACATCAGGTTCCATTTATCAATATTCGTATTCAATTTACTCAGTCGAAAGCTAATGAGGTACGAATCTGAATAAAAGTCAAATAAAGAGCTAGATCTCTATATAATTATTATTGTATTTCTAGAATAAAATATCTCTTGAACCTGGTCAATATTCATGGCCATTTGAATTTACTATTCCTCAGAATTTACCACCATCAGCAGGCTCATTACCAGGCTCATATCCTTATATAAAATATTATGTACGTATTACTGGTGACCAACCATGGTATAAATCAAGTCAAAAAGAAACTTATCCATTGACAATTTTTCCAAATGTTAATATTTTTAATAATGAAGAGAGACAATCTATTGTTGTGTCTCATCGACATCGAAACCATATACATTTTGACGCTTGTTTAAGTCCTCAAAGTATTTTACCTGGTGAAGAGTTTTCTCTTGATATTGATCTTAAGAATCATAAACGATTAAAAATAAAAGGAATTGAAGCAATATTAATTCAACATCGAGAAATTGATCAAAATCATCATGCTGAAGCTATTTTTAAAATGGATTTACCCTTTCCAGAAAATTTTTCGGACACAGAACTTCATGAAAATTTTAATATACGTATGCCTTCTGAACATATACCACCTACATATTATTATATGATATCATCTTCTGATTTATCAATTCGTACTAATATTCATTATGAACTAAAATTGGAAGTAAAAGTTCATGAAGGGCATCATCATATGAATTTAATCATTCCAGTTATTATCGGAACAGAATCATCCTTATATCAATCTCAACTGGGAGCAATCAGTTATAATAAAATGCCAATAAGTTATACAACAGTTGTGAAAGAAACGGATGCATCGCCTGTTTATGAATTGGAGGTTGAAAATCTGAGATTATAAGAAACTATAACCTAATCATTCAATATATTTTTTTGTCCCGCTTTCATTTTTGCTTGTATGTGTTTTCAATCAAAATTAATACGCACCATGCACACTCATTTATATGCATTGACAAAAAGAATTTTATTAAAAATATTTTTTTGTCTACATATCGCTCATATATACTTATCGTAATAAATATCGTTTCATGAATTAGCTATTATGCATATAAAACTTGCAACACGTGCTTGCAGTGAAAATAAACTCATACATTACATTTCATGTGAAAATCAGTCAATGATGAATTTTATATATATATAGAAGAATACCTTCGAATTCTATCCTCAGGAATAATGAGTTTAAATTTATCGAATTCACCTATACAAACTACAGCCGTATTAGGTTGCCTATCTATATTGATTCACATTGGATTTTACGCCATTTGAAAATTATTCGTTCAAAATATCTCACAAGACTTTGTAAATCTTGTTAGCACAGCCATATATAATTTGCGAAAGGAAATTTTTCTTATGATTCTTTTCTCTTTCTGGTAAAAAAAAACTATTGACTCCATAATGATGATGTCATTGCAAGAACGTAGGCTTATTCAAACAAATAAAAAAAGGAGTTCAAAAGTGAATATACACGTTTGACATTAGTGTCATCCGATTATTAATGAATAAATAGATATGTATATACTTCTGAAAATGTTCGTACTTCACTTTTTTACCTCTTTATTTTTTCTAAGCTTTGTTCTTTTTTTCGACTATTCATACGGTACAGTTTATCTTGAAGTTACATTAACATGAAACCAATAGACAAGAAAATATACATTCACTTAAATTTATATCAAAATTTTAATACTATAAGACAATATCATACACACTTTTGATCTTATTATTACAAAGACCACATCAAATTTACTTCCTAATATGATGTTAGATCGATAAAAAACTTATTGTGCAAGAACACATTCTTTAACTTTTTCTCTGAAATGTAATACGTATGTTTACAATGAAATGATTCGTTTGTTATCGATAAACCACCTTTTTTATCTATTAAAATGGCAGTGGTTATTTTCCCTCTGCACTATCTCCATTCATCTTGGCTCACATTGTTTTTGAATCACTACATGATCATATTATCATGTGCTTCGATGAGTTCGACATTATTGATCATGTTTTGAAAAACGATATCATTTTCCTTTATGTAAAGTAAATATAAAAGCACGAATATTTTACATTGCTTTCATAACAATAAGAAATTGAAAATATTTTTCACTTATGATTTATTTCTTCTTTATTTCCTGGTGTTTGCTTATTCGTCTAGTTAGAAGTGAACAAACAGATGTGTCTTCTTGGTATAAAACTCAAATAGTCGATACAGTTATTCCACCATATCATGCAGCTTATACAACATTAAATGAAAAAATCGTCCAACGATTATTAACAGCCAATATCGACAGTGATGAAACAACAATAAGAACATTAGTTGATTCTCTGGTATGTGCAAGTCGAAATGTACAAAACAAATTAACTGAAGCAACTAAAGCTAGTGAAGAAATTCGTAATTCACTCGATGAAAAAATAGCTCATCTTGTTCTTTCAATTGTTAATCAAGAAAATAAAGTTCGAGAAAGTCAAGAATCTGTTAATCAAGCAAATATCAATATTGAGCATGTTCAACAACAAGTGACAACAGCTGAAAATGCTGTTCAAGATAGGCAAAATGCATTGAATACAGCCGAACATGATATGCGTGCAGCTCAAAAAGCAGTTGAACGTGCTCGTGTATGTGGTCGACGACGTCGAAAACGAGGTTTTGGTAAATGGTGGCGGAAGAAAGTTGAAAAACCTTTTGTTCAAGCTGTTCGTCAAACAGTTATTAAACCTGTATGTAGTGTAATTAATTCAGGAGGTATTGATAATGCCAAACATCGACGAGCATTAGCTGAACATACGTTTCGTGAAGCTCAACAACGTCTAACTCAATATCAACAAAATTTAGCTCATCAACGAGCACAACATGCAATTGCTCAAACACAATTAAATGAAGCAAATTCTCAATTAAATATCCTTAAAAATCAACTTAATGAACAAAAAGCAAAACAACTAATTATAATATTACTTATTAAACAATTTAAAAGTGTTGAAATACATTTGAAAGATGTATTAGGTTCATCGGTTGTTCTTGAAGATGCTATAAGTCAATTGATTAATTTTCAACTTGTTATTGCACCACTTCATGCTATTTATAATGAAATGATTACAAACAATGTGATGAACTCTTTCAATTTTGAAATTTCAGCTGAAATGATAGCAAAAATTTTAACCAATTTAACATTTTTAAAGGAGAAAATGCCTAAAATGCCACTAAATGAAATTATAGTGGAAGATACAAACATTGCTTGTCCTTAAATATCAAAAAATAAATAAATAAATAATTTTTTTTATTCTAGATGATAATCATAGTTTGTCTTTTATGTATTCCTATTATCGTTAGCTCTCAACAGCTGGCATCTACAAATTTAAGTGTAATCTCATCAAACGTTGACCCCTTGATGGATCAAACTACTATTGATAAAGCATGGGAAGATTGTATGATTACGGCACCAGCAACTCTTAATCTACTTGGTCAAGTCATGGTTGTTGCAAGTAGAGTAGATGTTTCATTCGATCATTATTCACCTAATCGTGTCTACCAATACATCAAATATCCCAAATCATTTCGTGCAACTCTTTTACAAATCTCAAACGGTATTTTTTTCTTAAATATATTATTTTTTCGTATTGATATATATATATATTTATTATATTTAGATGGTTATCGAGCTTTTCTTGGTGCTCATACATCTATGAATAAGATTCAATTGTATATGCAACAAATTCCTCAACATATTAAAACTATAATTAAACTATTATCAAGTAAAGCTTCAACAAGTCTTGTCAGTCGATTGTTACCAAAAGTAATAAATAATATAGAACGTATTGGTCAAACATGTGTTACATTATCACGTGGTACAGAAAATTCGTTTGTTGCTGTGATGGACCTTCTTGGTGAAGTATTAGAAGCGACAGAAGTAACACGAGGTTTACATGAAAAAGATTTAAATGATAAAACTATCGAATTAAATGTTACATACATTATTCATGCTGATATAAAACGTGAAGAAGAAGTTCGTCGTCAACATTATGAAGAAATTCGTCAAGCTGTACGTAATGCACAAGCAGAATATTCTCGTGCACTTAATGATATTCCAACTGGTTTTAAAGCACTTGGTCTTGAATTAGGCCGAGCTCTTATTGGATTAGTTAAATCATTTTCTAACATTTTTAGTTCAAATCAAATGGCAGGATTTAATCCATCACTTCAGCAAACTTCTGGAAATAATGTTGCTGGATCATTTGCTAATGATCAAATTATAAATTTTGCTTCACGTTTTGCTCAATCACTTGATTCATTAATTGAACGGATATCTTCAAGTGATAATCAAACTTTAGATGAAAAAGAATTTCAAAGTTTTCAAGTTATATTTGGAACATTCGCCAAGATGATTAATAAGATTCCAAACAGTAAGCCTAAAGTGAAAGCAGCTCAACTTATTCAACGAGCTATTGATTTAATTGATGAAGCTGTAAATGATAAGAATTCAGATATTAAAAATGAATTAGAAACTTTAGCTGATGAAGTTAAACCATTTTTGGCTGCCGAACAAATTTCTAGTAACAATAATGCACCAATTGCTATATCATCAGAAGGTGATTCATCAAAAAATGAATTATTAAAAGCTCAATTAGCTCAAATACGTCTGTCTGAAACAGAAAAACGTCTTGATCAACAATATGCTAGTTATACAGCAGCTATGGAACAAATGCGTGTATTAACAGCAAAATTAGCTCATCTTGACTTAACAGTTATTCATTTTAAACAAATTCTTGAAATGTTACGTGAAGCATTACGTTTACTTGGTCTTCTACGTCAACATTGGCATAAATTAGTTGAATTTTTTACAAATTTTTCAGCACAAGTTACAACAGGCTTTGATGAAACACTTAAAACATTTCTTGATACAACACGTGTTAATATTGATTTAGAGAAAACAGAAGTTGATCGTATTCTTATATTAGAACTTTTAAATGGTGATTCAATTAATCTTTATCATGAATCATATACACTTTTTCTAATGGCACGTACTTATTTTGATGTATCAAAACAATATCTTATGCCACGTCTTGCTGGTCTTTCACTTATGTTGACAGCTGAAAATGATAATGAACGACAAAAATTACTTAGTGAACTTGAAAGAAATACACTTGATGTTCAAGCTAATGTTACGCAACTTGTTACTGAACGAAAAAGAATCTATAAAAAAATAATCAGTGAAAAACGTGCAGCATTGAATGAACAAATCGATAATCAAGGTGCCGATGGAAATGAACTTACTATAATTCGAGAAGGAAAATTGCTTCTTGGATATGAAGATACTTTAAATGAATAAATCACGAATTGATGTTTTTTTTGTTATATATTAAAAAAATAATCTTTTCTTTTGTTCTTTCCAATAATTCAATCGTTTATAATAATAAAAAAAAAACTATTTTTCATATGACGCATAGAATCAGTGCTTTTCTTTTACCAATATTGTATATAACTATAAGCAATTAATATAACGGGTGACGCTGACGAAATGAAGCAATATATGTTAGTTTTTCAAATAAATTTTTCTCCAACGAGAAAAATTTAAAATATGAACGCCTGTTCAATTATCTAACTTCAATATTATCAATTTGTGTAAGTTTTGGCTCATGAAGACCAATCTAAAAGAGAACATCGTTAGTATCAATTGATATTGTCGTTTATGAAACTTATTTTTGAAACAAATGTTGTGATCGCTAAGTTAAAGAGTACAAACGATTGGACCTCATACCTACTAGAAGACCTATCTGTGGAAAACCCTGATCTTGTAAAGGAATTTTTCGTTTAAATCTTTTTTCTTTGAAATATTGCTGAGTCGTGTTTGTTAAAGAATAAAAGTTACGAAAAAAATAGAAGGAAAAACAATAGCTTATGTATGCATAACAAGAGAGCACAATCTTTTCAGAACATGAAACAATCTGTTATCAACTAGAATGAAAACGAGACAGGTATAAACAATATGGGAAGAAGAAAACGATTAATATTAAACTTCATTTATATCAGTCGTAAAACACATTTAATAAATATATAAAGTAGGGCGGAACTCATGATGGTTCCAAATTCGACTATTAATGAACATGAAACTAAATTAATGTATTTACTGACATACCATCAAATCAATTCCAAAGACGACAGTGATGATGATAATAATAAGGAAAACGAATAAAATGAAAAAAAAGACGATGGTTGGAAGTGTTATCTGTAAAATGTTATCAACAACGACGAAATCAAATAGTCATAGTGACGTAACTAAAATATAATAACAAAGTTCGAGCTTTTATGGATAGGAATTTATATTAGAAGACTCATCTAAAAGTTTGTACGCTAAAATATAATAGAAGACTTGGAGTCTTTTACTTCGGGAACTACAAAATCACTTTTTTTAGTCCCGGTCCCGGTCCCGGTCTTTGACAATGGCTTCATTTCTAAAATCGAGCAACTTTTTTTAATGATCTGTGTGCTTTTATGAATACATAAAATTGACATGAATGATTTTGATTCGTTAACAGTACGAAAATTCTTTTGTATCCAGCGTTAAAGTGAAAGAATTTCACTGAAAGCTCGAATAAATAAAAATAACCATTGAATTTTGTTAAAAATTCTTATGTACTTCGTAGCAGTCATTTACTTATTTCTGTCTTCTTTTATATCTACTGCTCTACCTAATGGATTTATTATCGAATTGATTATTTATACTGAGTAGCTATTACGATTGTCAAAAGAAAAATAAACGGCGACACATATCTATTTACTATTATCTGATAAGACTTAAATAAAGGAAACATCAAACAATGAACGAATTAAATTTATGTATATAGTGTTGTGTTGGTTGTTTTATATGTATTCAAAAACCTGTGCAATTGGGAGACTCAGATTCTTGCAAACAGACTCGTAATCAGTAAAGACTTTTATAGACATAGCAGATAAAAATATCTGATTTACAGATCTTTAATCATGTCAAAATAATAAACGTGAAAATATATTGCATAAAAACTGACCGGGACCACTTTGCAGTTCCCTACTTTTACTGCCTAGGAAGTTTAGGTTGTATGAAATAAAAAATAATAATCACGTAATCTTGTAAGGCACGGCTTTCTTTTCAGGTTTTACTTCATGATTATTCTCGTAAATATGTTTTCTGAAATTCTGAAACATATATCAAAAGATACAGCGTTTTGCGAAGAATTCAATGGCATGCTTGGCATTTCAGAAAACTTCCATTAAAAATGTTTGCATGATTTTTTTCCATTTTTCTCGTGGTCGCAGTTGGTTAGTTGAGCAAGCGGTCATATTTTAAATTTTACTCTAAAAAAAATTTACTTCAAAAACAAAGAAAATGATATTGTCTCCTCTAATCTGTGCCACCCGTTATATCGATCAATACACATTAGTTTCATATTACATCTTACCTATCGTTTCTTTTTCTTTTTTTGTAAAAATAAAAAAACAGATAACTACATTCACTCTTAAAACATGCTATTTTTACTAGCTATATCTATCTTCGTATGCAATTCTTTAATACAAGCTGTTCCATCAATATCTTTTTTCTATCCGAAACAATTAACTGAATCGACTTGTATAGGTGAATATTCATGGACAAAATGGTTCAATTCATTTACACCGAAGAATGATATAGATTTTGATCAAGAATTTCTTTCAATGATTCAAGCAGAAAATGGTCATGATATATGTGCTATACCTAAAGGTATTCAAGCTCAAACAATAAGTACACTTCAAATGAATGTTAGTTATGCAGTCTCATGGAAAACAACGAATAATATAATTAGTGCATGTATTTCACGTACCCCTGGTGTTGATTTTCGAGTACGATTTTGTTGTGCAAATAGTGATTTTATCACAACAACTACAACAACACCAAGACCTATCGATAGTCATACATGTGGTCGAGCACAAATCAAACCATCATTTCAATTTACACGTATTTTTGGTGGATCATGTGCTATACCCCACTCATGGCCATGGGTGAGTTATAATTTCTAAATAAAAAAACGTCTTTATTTCTCTTCAAATATTAGCAAGTTTTGTATGAAGAAGAAAAACTATGTGAAACAAATAAAATATGTATGGAAACTTGTGGTGGTACTTTACTTGATTCATATCATGTACTTACAGCAGCACATTGTATTAGAGGAAAAGATCTTGAACATATTCTAATTACAGCTGGTGTTCATAATAGACAGATTAATGAATCAAATACAAGACAAGAAAAAAAAGTTGCTCTTATTTTTTTACATCCTGATTGGAATAGTGAAACATTAGCAAATGATTTGGCTATTCTTCGATTGAGTAAACCTGTAGAATTTAATAAATATGTTCAGCCAGCATGTCTACCTGGTCCTGACCCTCCTGCTAATTCTGATGTGATTCTAATTGGATGGGGAGCTGAACAAATGGGTGGAAATCCATATGATGAATTAAAACAAGCTCAAGTTAAAGTTATTGGGGAATGTCATCGATTTTGGAATCTATTTGATGAAGAAAATCAAATTTGTGTTGGACAAACTGTTTCTGGCGATTCAGCATGTCAAGGTGATAGTGGTGGTCCTTTATTACAACAATATAATGATCAATGGGTTGTACAAGGTGTAGCTAGTTTTGTAGATGATTGTAAAACAAATGAAGATTCTCCACCAAATATTTATGTCAAAGTTTCAGCCTATTTAACTTGGATTAAAAGCATTATCAATTGAATCATAAGAATCATTTGAAAAGAAAATAATAAATGCATTAAAAAAAACTTGACAGTCACTGCATGCAGAATATTAAGCGCTATCTAATAATAAAAAAAGATTACTCTATCAGATGTAAAATACAAAATGATTTTGAAAATACTAAAAGCATAATAATTCTCGGGCCACGCGTTACTTTTTTGACATACGCATCAAACGTTTTCATTCTATGCCGCTATGATCTCAAGAAAGGAAGGTCAGAAAATAGTTGTTCAAACTAGAGCTGAACGTGTCGAGATCGAATCAATATTATTTTTTTGTTCCAATTTTCCCAAAAACGTTCCGTTTCCTTTCAAATAGTAATTCAATCGTTGTCGGCGCAAGTGTGCATCGGTGAGCGTGATGTCTTCAACCACACTCTAAAACCCTCAGACATGATAACACAAAGTGAAATGTGACACAGAGAACGAAATTATATTGCAATGAATATCTCTTCCTTTTCATTCTTTCGTTTTTTTCTGATACTACTAATAACAAAAGATAAGAAAAAGGTACGAAGCACCTAAGTGAAATGAAACCAAACAAAACTTCAACCGCAACAGCAATTTAAAAAAAACAAATAGTAACATCTAGAAAACATTCCAACACACTATATAAATTAAAGTCATTTCACTTTCTGGTTTCATTGATAAAACACAATAAAAGCCATGGATGATAAGAAAAAGTCTACAACAACGACAACTGCCGTCACGCCATCTTCAAAAACGAGCATAAGGTCATGATGACTCTATCATGCTCGTATCGTTCAGAACCACTTACTTGTGTGGCTACATGCCAATACTGATGACAGCAATAACGATGATTATATGAATACCAACAACAAATTAAATGAAGTGGTTAACAAGTTATTTTCACGCGCGCATGTGAATGAATGTATCGATTTTACTACTAATGTTAAGAAAGGGAGAACATTTATGTTCATTTCTGGCTTCCTTCGCGTAAATAATTCTTCCCATCGTTCATGCTATTTTAAAACTCAAGGCTACCTATATTTTGGACAAGAACTAAGTTTAGTTTGAAGGTTGGGCCCAACGATGGCCAAAAGTAAAAGGAATCTTTACAGTCGTCATTTCTATCTGTAAAATTCTTCAAAACGGGACACGAGAATATGATCAAAACATGATTCTGATCAGTTTTATTTCCACAGGTACTGGAAACAGCGAGCTAAACCTCAATCAGTTGGATTCAACGTTTATGTATACACCAATAACCAAGAAAACTTTATTAATTATCGATTTCAATCAACAACATATCATGGAATTTACTACTTATTGCCGTCAATTATTTAGTGCGAACCCGAAAGAAATCCAAAATATTGAAAAATTCGAACACAAATACCACGAACATATTTCAATGTGGTGGTATACATACTCTTTTTTTCTTTATTCAATGCTGAACTGATCGTTATACATGATGGGAGTAGATCTCATTATTAGAATGGAACTTTTTTGTTCGTGAACTACACTACAGTATTACTCAGCTTCATGCTCAACAGTTTATTGGACATACTTTGGTCAATCCATATACTGTTTATCGTGGACAAGAACTGTCA